TTTGATGTCTTAAATCACGATATTCTTTATTTAAAGTAGCATTAAACGGCTGTTTTTTAATTTTCTTACTAGTTTTATCTCTTTCCCTAATTAGTTTAATCAAATCATTTGTGATCCATGGCTTTAATTTTTTGAACCTCGATGATTTCTTAACAGATTTTTTAGAACTATCTATGGTTTCATCCATGATTTGTAAAAAACGAGATGCACAAGAGTTAATGTCAAGATCGATAAAAAAGTTGCTCCAGTCTATTTGCGCAAGATTACAGGACAGTAGTGTATGATCGATAATGCGTGTAGAAGTATCCAAAGTAACTGACAGTGTATTGGTTGGAAAAGTAATAGTCATGCCTGTGCTGAAATGGTCTGTAACGTGTGTGTGTAATGTTGCTGATTGTACATTTTTCATGTCGTTGTAACGTATGAACATGTGATCAATGCAAGTTTGGCTATTGTTCGTAATTCTTGTTGGTTTGTCTATACATTGAATGAGACCAGCACCTAACAAACAGTTTAAGTAACTGTCGTTTAAAGAATTAATACTCAACAAATCAAAATTTATATCTCCAGTTAAAATAATCATCAAATCTTTGCTCAAATGGTTAAGATAATTTTCTAAATCGTTTATAAATAATTTAGCATCTGAATCAAATGTACGGTATAGTGCTAACAGACAAAATTTGTTATTGTGTAAGTTGAAATTGAGTTGTATTCCATAAACGTCAGCAAATGAGATCTGTGATGCAGTTACTGATAGTCGATTGTTGAAGTAAACAATAACACCGTCGGCTCTATTTCGTCTGTTATCAGTGAGTACATAGTCAAATCCGTCAATCGTCTGTCCCCCTACCCCCTCCTGCAACCAACATTCTGTCAACACAATAATATCCATCTTGGGAATTTCATTTAAATAAATTAAAAATTCATCAAAGTTTTTGGAATAGCTTCTGATGTTTGTGCTTATGACTTTCAATTCGTCATCACCATTATTGTGTGAGAAAAAATTTTTAATTTCAGAAATTGATTTTAGCTCTAAACAATTGTTGTGGAAAAACAAAGAGTTGTCACCATCCGCATTCATCTAGCAGTCTACGCACAAACCACCTGCCCGGCCGGCAATTGTTGATTGTTGAGCCTACTGCTGTTCAATTGTTACATAATAAAGTGTGGTTACTAATAATTTGTTAATGAGAGAGAAAAAGTTCTTACTAAATCTAAATTTAAATGAAATTTCTTAGGAAATTCTGATTGCAACTATTGCATTTTGCTGCGGTACATAATAATAAAAGAACTTACTATTATTAGTGAACAGAGAGAATTAATATTAGCTAACTGAAACTGATAAAAATAATTAAAAAATGGAAAATTTATTACTAACAAAATTGTATGTGCCCATCTTCAAACATATTACTTTAAAACCTATATCTATTTATAAACATACTATCAAAAGATGTCTAAAAATTGAACACATTCATACATTTTAATTTAAACACATTATCTTGGAGTTGTGATATTTTAAGATTAAAACAAAATAGGTAAAATCTTTTAAGTAATATAAAATGGTCTGCTTATCGTTATTAGAAAATTTAAAAGGTAATCTATTTCTTAATTATAATTTATAGAGATTTTAACCTACTATACATTGATCATGAATAAAATTTATGTTAGCCTATTTTGTATTTTCATGAATGAGCAAAAGTTAAAATAATAAAAATAAATAAAGCCATTTTATTTTAATGATTGACAGTATAAGTAGAATATAAATTTTAAAAATGTCTAAAATCGTTCATTAATCTTAACCTAGATATCGGCTAACAGACAAAACTTTTATTTGGAAGATATTTTGTAATATGAGATATTTTACCACGTATTAAAATAAGTATAATCTTCTTTTTTAATCAATCATGAATTTGTAAAAAGTAGTATTGCTAAACATAATAAATAAATAAAAAGAGTATTCTGTCTTCAAAAACTTTAAATAAAGAAAACCTACTAGTCTTTAGCATAATTAATTATGTGAGCTTAAGGTCTTACATGTGGCAAGTCAAACTATTTGTTGTTGCTGTCGTCGTTCCCCTCCTCGGCGTCGTCGGCGACCTCGGCCCCCCTTGTCGGCTTGGCGCTCTGGAGCTTCAGCTTCTTGAAGTCGCTCATCCTTGTTATACGGACGGCCTCGGCCTTCTCAGACTCCTTAACGAGCACCTTTCCATTGAAGTAGCCTGCGCTGTACAACCTCCCCTCTCTCTTCAGCCGACGAGCTTTGCCCAGCAATGTTTTATTGTTCGGTGTTAAATGTTCGTTAATATAAACTGTGCTGGCCGGGATAGATGGGTGGATATCGGCGGTATCAATGCTTCTTTTTTTCCTTATGGCAGACATCCAGGCCTCCTTTGTGCGCCTTGATGTGAACTGGATTATGATGGGCGGGTAGGCGTGCTTGTCCTTAGAGTAGATCCGGAGCCTGTGTGCAATAGAGATTTGAGCTTCGTTGAAAGTAACTCCAAGCGCTCTGGCGATGTGTTGGAGGCAGAGGTAGATGTCCTCCTTCTGTGACACTGGCATCCCTAGGATCTCGATGTTAGCAGCGCGTGAGTGCTGCTCAGCATCGTGAAGCCGCAGCTGAAGATCGCTCACTTCACTTGTTAGCTCACTGTTGACTCCCTCCAGCTCATTGCATCGTTCTATTAGCTTCTCATGTTCGTTGTCCAGTCTGGTAACTCCCTCCTGCAGCCGTTGCACGTCAGATTGTAGTAAGCTGACTGAGGTTAGCACATCATTTACTTTGTCGTCGATTTTCTTGTATATATCGACCTTCAGGGTCCGAATGGCTTCCAGAATAGAGTCCTTATCATCGTTGCTGCGATTAGACGCGCTTGATTTTGAATCCTCAACACACGAATCACATTTTAATGTTTTGTTTCTTGACTTAGTGAAGCTCTGCAGGGATCCAGCGCGCGTGCACGTGGCGTGAAACGACAACTTACAGTCAACACATTTAGCCAAGCAATCACTTTCGCCGACCACTTTATCACATTTACCGCACTTAGACATGATAAACACGATTAGCTCCAAGCTAAAACCTTAGCGTTAAAAAATGAATAATTTTGTATATTAAATCACTTGTTCGGCCAATCCGGGCAGGTAGCGGCACGACTCAGATAAGCAGCGGTCGGAGAGATAGCGCGTCCGCTCCCATCGACTGTCTGATAACAACTTTTAACAAGTACTTGTTAAACTAATTCTATTTAAATAGGGAATAAATGTTATATTTTTAAGTAGACATTTCAGTGTAAATCCAATCAGTCAAATGGAAATTCGCTTAGTCTGCAGGTTTGCTGCGGCGGGGGTATTTATAATTTGATGTGTTCTGATTAAATTCACAACCGTGAAAATATAAGTTTAATTCCGCGTTTAATCCATCGAGCTGATGTCGCGAAACTCAAAAGTTCGCTGCCGGAATTTTACCCCCTGGTTTGTGACGTCACGTTTGCCCAGGGGGATAAAAATCCGCTACCCCGACTGTTGTAGTTTGCTTGTTTATGAACATATTTTGATCAAATTTGGTAAATGTTTTTATTTCTTACTAACTATTAACATTTTACAAAAAAAAAAAAAAAACAGTTTTACTTTCCCTGATGCAGCAAACCTAAGTACTTGTTAAACTAATTCTATTTAAATAGGGAATAAATGTTATATTTTTAAGTAGACGTTTCAGTGTAAATCCAATCAGTCAAATGGAAATTCGCTTAGTCTGCAGGTTTGCTGTGGCGGGGGTATTTTATTGCTTTTGACAATTTTTTATTCCTGTAGACTTGATTGTTGTTATTTTATACTCTTCAACTAACAATACTTCTATTTTTATTTAGGCCTATTTATTTTTTGAGACAAAAAATAGAATGGCTAAATAGTCATTCTCCAGATTTCTTTAAGAAACATAGCTCAAGAAGATAAATATTGTGAAGGAAGATTATTTGAAGAATTTGTGTTAAATAGTAGGCTAACATTGAAAAAGAACTAAATATACTAAAACTATTTAAGTTTATTTTAACAGCTTCAGTACTAAAGGGCTGAGGTCTCTGAAGAGTGTTCTATACATCCACTGTGTTGTGAAATGTGTCCACTGATCTATGGTTAGTCATACATTTTAATTACAGTGTTGGAACACCTAACCATGGATAAAACATAGTCCCTTAGTAGATTTCCCATCCTTATGGAACAGCTGAGGCCAATTTTATTGTTAGTTCTGTCCGGTTTTCTGTAGATGTCGTGTTTTGTTTACAATTTGTTGCTTGTTATTTCAGTAATTTAAAACCTCGTTTAACCAAATAAAACTATCTAATCATAAACAATAATAACTCGTCTACTAGCTAGCTATATAACCAAATAGTGAGACACAAATAATGAGAAACTAACCCTAAAATAATATAAACAAATTGTAAACAAAACACGACAACTGCAGAAAACCAGACAGAACTAACAATAAAATTGGCTTCAGCTGTTCCATGATGGGAAATCTACTAAGGGACTATGTTTTATCTATGACCTAACATTGTCTGAGAACTAACATATAGAATTAATAGAAAAATAGAGTGGGAATGTTGTTCCTGCCCCATTAAACCACTGAATATAATTTTATTACCAATATTCTTTCAAAAGTTATCCAATTAACCTACAATATCAACATCACTGATAGGTTTATTTTTTCCATAATAATAAGATGGAATTTTAAATATACTATTTTTTTATAAATTCGTAACCTTTATTTTGACAACGCTTCTATATAAGTGTAAATATATAAGTGTTATTGTGCATATTTACTAACAAGTAAATTTAATAACATGTACTGGTACTATGCTGGAATAATTTGGTTAGCAAAATTGTCCAAAATTACATCATGTTGTAGGAGATAGTAATTAATTTCCTTTTTTCCTATACTTCCTAGAAAATATATTAATTTGACATAAATTGTATTTTTAATTAGGCCTATTTGTATTTCCTAGGTATATGTGATGATGATCTGTGGAAAACATTTGAAAAATGTGGGGAAATCGATAGTGTACGGGTTATTAGAGATAAATTGAATAAGAAAGGAACCTTTGGATTTGTCAACTTTAAGGTATTGTATTTGTACTCATAAAAAGTTTTTTTTTTAGAATTAACGTTGTCATATGTCATCATTAACCCTAGGACTGGCAATACGACGATTTTCGTCTGTGCTTCGAAAATGCCCTTATGACGAAAATTGTCATATAGTGTCACTTTCTTTTAAACAGCTTAGGCCTATAACTGTTTGGGTACTTTCCTGTTAAAGGGAACATTCATTATTATCGATGATTTTTTTTCGATATATCAATATTTTTGTTTCACCTCACGATATATTGATAGTAACAAATTGAAACATATCAGCTGACAAGTACGATATAGGATAGAGTTAATAAATATTGTTCAGTATCAACAAACAATTTAAAAAATATTATATTGAACAAATTAAACTGTTCTAAACTAACCTAACCAACCAAACTTGCTGTAACATTTCAAAATTCCGTTTGATAGCCTATTCCCCATATGCCTTTTCTGTTATCAAATGGAATATTGAAACGGTAACTTAGCCTATACAGCATGTTTGGTTAGTTATTTTAGGTTAGTTTAGAATAGTTTCATGCCCTAATCCAATTTAATAGGCTATTATTTTTGCCTAAACAAGGTTAGTTCTTAATTTGTAATTTAAATGCGTTGGAAGATATTAAAACAGAAGGAATACCAATCGTGAAGTGAAACAAAAATATCGATATATCGAAAATAAATCATCGATAATAATAAATGTTCCCTTTAACAGGAAAGTACCACTGTTTGGTTAAAAGTATTCCTTGATCTGTTTATAATCATATGTCATTATTATGTGAATATTGTTATTGTTTACATTTGAATCATTTTACAGTTGTACACAGATTTAGTTCAGTTAATAAAGATACTTCTGTTAAATATGAAAATTAGTAAATTATACATGGCACAGTCAAAGAAGATCAAAGAAAGATATGAATATGGATTTTAATAAGCCTGACAAATTGAATGTTATTAACCCTAGCAGTGGCCAATGTTAGAAGTGGGAAATGGCCAAACCCATTTTGGCGATTTTGCAGACCTTTTTTTGAAAATTTGTAAAAATTCAACTGTACAAGTAAACCTAGCCAACCTTATATTCATTTTGTTCGGATAGAACAGGAGAGTCTAGAAATAGTTATACAATAATGATTTAGACAGTGTATTTTTACGGTTTAGAGAAAAAATAAAAAAATAAATTTTTTTTTGAAATTTCAAAAGCAGCCTTGGTAAAATTTTTTCTACAGATTGTTTATGAGAAATTCATATATACATTTTGTAGACAATCTAATTCCCTACATAGAAATGTATAACATGTTAGGAAAATATTTTTTTTATTGGTAAGTTTTTGGGGTGAAATATAATAACAAACGGAGAACCGAAAAAATTGAAAACCTTACAGTGTTAGTTTGTATTGTAAAAAGTTGTATAATATATGTGTATACTAATAATGATATATACACGTTTGTAAAGCTAATGAAGTAAGGAATCCAAAAAAGTCATAAAGTTTATGGTAAAAATAATTTTTTACTTATAAACGTATGTATATAAAAAAATGTTTTTATATTTTAGCGATTTTGTAAAAAAAAATCACAGTATTTAGTATAAAAGGGTGTTGCATTATTTGTCATGTCTCGAAGACAAACACCTCCTCGTACAACTTATTAGTAGTTTGCATTTTTTTTTTTAGTCTGCTGATTCAGTTGCTGAAGCACTGAAACTTGATGGAACACTTGTATTAGAACGAGAGATTAGAGTTAACCAAATCAATAAAAATGCAGATAGCTTATCCAGCTTGATTAATGTTAAAAGGAGTAAAAAGAAAAGGAGGAAACCTCAGTCAAGTACTGTGGATAATGGATTAGAGCCAAAAAAGGTGCTTGTTGAAACTGGGATAACTGTAAAGGTAAGTTCAACAATAGTAGGTACCAAAATTTGTATTTTGTGTTATCAGTTACAGTAGACTCTTGGGCATCTAGGTTGTTGTGCTTATTTTCAAGATCAGAAGAATACTTTCTTGTTATTAGATCAGATTGTTCTTATAAATATCTTGCTTTTTATTGCTAAGGAAAAAGGTTGCCTCAGTCTTTTAAGTCTATATAACCGGGGTTGAATAAAACACTGAATTGACTAGTCCCCATTTACATACTAAGGGTTGATTAATGTTCAGCATAGGGCTAAAAGAAAACTACTTGATTTAACAAGATATTAACCTAAACAACTTTTTTTCCAAATAAACTGTCAATGTAGCACTGGTATAAAACAAAAAATTTTTTAGAAGTGAGTAGCCCATAGTATCATCACTAGGCGTTTGACATATTGCACATTATTTAATCAAACCAAGTTACAAAAAAAAAAAAAAAATACTTTTCATGTAAAGATAACTTCTCAAAACCACTTCCAACTTGATTTCAATTTTGCTATGCAAACAAGCAGCTGTTTATACTCAATTCCATGTTCATCGTGCAGTATGGAACGCTTGTATGTCATGTATTTTAAATAGGAGTTTCCACGCTACTAGCCGTCCTCAAAACATCCATACCCGTTAACCGCTACTTCATACCACTGCATAAACCCTTTTAATTTCGTTTAGGTTTTTATTTGAGAATTGAGTTATTTATCACTTACCTACCTACTCATTTAACTAAAAATATTAAAAGAATGACATTTAAGAACCATTTTGTTATAACTAAAAAAATTACTATAATAATTTATGCACAAATAAAAAACATCTTTACTGGGGTTGTATAGTTGTATAAGGTGGCAGAATATTTCAATTCTGGCGGGGATCATGTTTAGGGTGGTGATAATATATAAGACCAAGCAGATGTGCCCATCCCCCCCAAACCCAGAGGCGCAATCCCCCCCCACCCCAAGCCAAAGGATTAGTTCCCCCCATTTATTCTGCCGTCTATTTAAACCTACCCTCCCCTCCCCCACCAATTTATCTGACAATATTCCCATTACCTCATAAAACGAGCATTTCAAGTATTTAGTAAACTTGAGGTACAAAAAACAAACTTGCTGATGATCAAAATTAAATGTTTAATAAGAAATGTTATTTAAAAATACATCACTATATCTAACTAATAGACGAATTAGAAGTTTTTCAATTTACAATTCAGAATCTATATTGTCAGCCAACATGTGCTCAGTATTGCAATAGACAACGTCTTCAAAACGTACTACAATATACTCGGTGAATTACTCTACTCCAACACAGTACTGTAACTGTACAATATATTAGGTCTTAAGAATTCAAACAGTTTTAAGTGCATTAGTAATACTTTGGAAAAAAGTATCTTGTTTCAAAATTATAGGCAGAGTCACGAAATAAGACATACTTGTTGCTTGCCACTCCCAGGCTGCCTTCTACAAAAATCGCCAGGCAAAATACCCACAATACCTTAATTGCCACCAGTACAAAAGGCTTTTGTGGCGAAGTAATCTTATAATTCGTTTTGATAGCCCCAGGATTAATTTTTATGACTAATAATGGTAGAAACGCATCTTGTCAGACAATCCGTTTGTACACAAAACGATAACAGAAACAGATAGGCCTATCAGTTAACACATGTATATTGCCGCAGGCAGGACTGGAAGTAAACTGAATCAGGTTATGACGGAAAGACGTAGTCTTTGGATTGTCGTCTGTGTTATCAAAACCAAAAACTGATATTGGACTAATTGTAGTGACGGAGGAGAGTGTTGAAAATATAATGGGATTCTCATAATTGAGTTTTCCATTCAAATTATTGACAATAATAACCAATTTATATGCTGGATATAAATGATGGTCTCGAAATTCTACATTACTGCGCGAAAGGAAATTAAACACTTTGAGGAGTTTGAAATATATAAATGCATAATAGCAAAAATTTTTGAGTGAAAACACTCAAATAACAATGAATCCCATTATATTTTCAACACTGTTCTCAGTCACTACACTAGTCGGGTCGCCGTCTACGTGTCACCCCGACAACCCATCACCTCGGTATTTTGGGCACAGACGACAACGTGTCACCTCGTAAAAATATAACGATGCCGTCTAGGTGTCACCTCGTCTAGTTGTCACCTCTTCTCTAGAGGTGATTGTTTGTCGTGTGTAGAGACGACTGCCTGTCACCTCGCACGCTTGCGTCAATGTGTCACCCCGACTACCCGTCACCTACTCTAGGCCCAGGTGACGATCTGTCGTTGCCGTTTACGACAAACAGTCACCTCGCACGCTCGCGACAAGGTGTCACCCCGACTACCTGCCACCCCGACTACCTGCCACCCCGCTCCATCTGTTTACGTTTTCTTATAACGCATAATAGGATTTGTCCACTTGGTTTATCAGCACTACCATGCTTAAAAACAAATAATTGTATATGTTACAATAAATAATAAACAAATAATAAAATACATTATAAATTATTCATGTTTAATCTTCGCTAACTAGATGATACACATAGGCTCCAGCCGGGTAATAAAACTAAAAAATCTAACAAATAATACTGAAATACAGGTAGTTAGAACCGAATAACATTAGGTTGGTTCTGTATACTGCAACAAGTAGAAAAAAAAACAATTGCAATCTAAATGCAGTTATTGAAATGTTTGGACATTTTCCAATGTAGGAGATTTTATAAAAAGATCAGTGACACTGTTACATAAATTTGAGTTTAATCCAACATTGCATGCTCTCAGCTTAAAAAGAAGTCAGTCATTATGTCTGAGGAAATACAAACAACCTTTTGCGATTAAAATTTTTCATGTTAGTGCAAAATATAAACTTAGTTCCAGATCATAACAGGTGTTACATTTGAGAATAAATTTTTAAGACGCCGTTAGACCTTTGACCAATTAATTGAACATACATTGAAATAGCTCATAGTATATTTGGATGAATTAATAATTATTATACACTAGGCCTTCTATGGCCACGAGAGAAATTTGTTTCTTGCATTCAAACACAAAAATGAACTAATTAAATATAAAAAAACTACGAGATATGTCAGAAAAAAATACGTTTCATGCTAAATTAAAATTAAGTTCCTTTACTTTAGCTTACTGTAATCATTAAATTCAAATATCTATTTAATTTTTATAATCCACGTTATTCAACAGATTAAAACTATTATTCAATTAAAAATTAAACCTGATATTCCAAAATATAAGCTTTCAAACAGCACTGAAAGAACTTACACTTAAGAACTTACTGAAGGAAACTTATCTTACATATTGAACACATAACACTTGGGAAGTTCAAGAATAGACTTTTAAATTGTAAAGGATGCATTTACCTGACTTAAGTAAAAGGTATTCTTGTTAACACAAATATACAAACTTTGAGTTTTTTTTTACTTATCGAAATCAAAGATTTTGACTGTAGTTACTGCAGTTTTAAATAACGCCTGTACTGTATAACAACGGTACTTGACAATTGCTCGATTTCGAGCAACAGGTATATAGTACTTAATTATTTTATGAATGCTAATATTATAAATTCAATCTTTCTCAAGTAAGCCTATCGCATGAAAAAACACAATACCGACTAAGATACTATTATTAAAAAAGCTGTATATCTTACCATGTAAACACTTCAAATGTGTTCGCATTAAAACACGTGTCGTTCTGTTCTTTCAAACCCCGAATTAACAAACCAATCCATTGCTAATAAAACGGGTTACTTAAAAAATAAAACAAAATATAACTGTTAACTGTTTAACTGTTATTTAACTGTTAATCACTGTTTACTATTAACTGTTATAAGAGTCGACGTATAAGAGCTCCGCTCCGCTAAAAATCTGGGTTTTCTAATTTTTGTCCCTCAAGACACAAAATTTCCCAATTTATCTATAGACCTCTTTAGAGAGCTTAAAAACAAAACAAATCAGTATATCTAAGTATTTTTGTACAATTATTAATTATTGTACGGAGAAAATTTATAAAAATGTGATCTGAAAATCCCTATGTTATTCTTATGAAGAATATTGTAAAATGTTGTAGTTGCTTGTTTATGGAAATATTTTGATCAAACTTGGCAAATTTATTTATTATATACTGAGCTATTATTCTTTTACTAAAAATACACACTTTATTAGTTTCCCTGTAGCAGCAAACTTAGTTACTCACTAAACTGAATGCTGAAAATACAATTAATTTAAAATCAGTCCAAGTAAATGGGAATTCGCTTAGACTGCAGGCTTGCTGCAGCGTAGGTATTATTTTTTTTACTGATTCTTTGTACTTATTTTTGAGCCTATTTTATTTATATAGGGTTTCCGCACATATACAGGACAATATCTTTCTAAAAGGTTTGTGTAGATTTTCTCTGCGATGGACGGGAAATAAAATATGAATTTACAAAAGACCCATTCTGCTCGGCAGTGTCGAAATAATTATAATATCCTAGAAATAATCAAATTTATTATTTTTGATTTATTAATATTGTTTCTTGATATAGTAGAGTTTTGAACTTAGCTGATTCTAACAATCAATAGTTTAAATTAAAAACTGTAATTCAATGGTTATTTTGAGTCAAAAACATAAACAATACTGGAGCTATTGATTTCAAATCATAGACAAACTTTATAGAAAATATTTTTATGTAGGTTGTTCACCTTGCCTTTGCTTGAAACTCGTCCGATTGGAATGACTAATAGCTTAAATGAAAACCGATATTGCACTGAAGGTTCTTAGACCAAAATATATCTATAGGATTATATAATTATTGAAGCTTGGAGAAAAGATAAGTAAGTACATATAATATATTTGGAATATGGTTTAAATTCACATTAAACTATTAACAAAAAATAAAAAAAACTAAGGAATAAATGTGCGGAGGGGGTATTTTAATCAGCCACAAAGTATATACCATGTAAGGACCGAAAGTTACTTTTAAAACTGTTTGTTATAGAA